CAAAAAAAACTAAGACATTAATTTTCGTGGAACGGAAGGAGTACTATATAATTGTTGTAGAGAAAGAGACAGTTAAACGGATGATAACACTTCCGATATTTGAAAACTTGTTTAGTACTAGTATTTTATAAGAGTTTTATAATTTGTATTTGTGGCGCTTACAAGATATTGCGACATATTACCTATAATTGTATTTTTAATTCATACCGATATAATTACTTATAAATTTATATATAACTATACTAATGATTACTATTTAAACATATATATTTTAAATTTTCGAATCTTGTTATAGAAATTTGGATGAATTTTGATAATGTGTATGATATGTGACGGAGTTATAACATTAACAAACAATTGCATCCACGTCGGACTTTTCATATCTAATTATGGATCTCAAAGTTTATGATCACAAATTATATTTATAATTAATTTATTTATTACTCATATAGTCCGATTCCCGACTGTCATCTAGTTATAAGTTATAAGCATAGAATATTGTGACCAGTATAATCTATTCTAGTTTACCAACCCTAATTTTTTTATCTAGTTTACCAACCCTATTTTACGTAATTCTAGCAAAAAGAAACCTTATTTTACGTATGATTACGGCAATAATAGTGCCCAACTTCCCATAATCAATGTTACTGTAAAACAAAATCATAGAAATATCTGTAGTACTTATTTGATTTGGTTAGTTTAATATAGTTAATCTAAATAAATTTTTAAAAAGAAAATCTAATCCATTTGTGGCAAAAAAGAAGTACCAAAAAGAGACAGAAGTGTAAACTGACCTGTCTTACAATTTGGTAAGATTTCGATGCAAAGTACAAAATGGCCGAAGCTGAGCCCACACTATTTAACCGTACGTCACTCAACTCTTTCTCCTAACGACTTGATTCTTTTAACTCGACGCTTGAATATTATAAATATCTATTTTCTTTTTAAATAAAGTATTTATTTTTCTTGCCATATTATATTGCTGTCAATTTGTGAATTGTGATCGGTTGCTTCCAAATCCAAAAGTCTCTACTGAAGTCTTCGGGATACTATAGACCATACGAACGATTAGAGCAAGAGAAATATCTAAAATAATGAAATCATTTTTGTATTGTGTGTTGACACTACCGTGCATGC